TAGTGCCTTCTGTTTAGGCAAGTGCTTAATTATTTCTTCCCACTTTAGGTGCAAGAGAGTTCAAATCTAGTGAAGTTAAATGATTTCTCCAAAATCTATGGTTTCCTGGCTCTTAAGAAATCAGTTTTCCCTCCTCAATACCTTGTGGAATCCCTCTCGGTGTCCTTCCCCAGCTTCCAGAGCTATAATACCAGAATGCTCACAGCTGATCATGCCTCAGTCCCAGTCTGTTTCCTGGGTCAAGAAGGAACCATGCATGATCATTCCTAACTGAGAACATTCCATTCTGTTGGGCTAATCCTTCCATTGTCAAGATTCATTTTGAAGGGAATTTAAAGTGTAAATCTGGTGTTTGCCTAGATGAGGGTTGCTCAACCTTGACAATATTGACATTTTTGGCTAAATCATTCTTTGTTTTAGGGAACTGTTTTATGTATTATTGGATGCATAGCAATGTCCTTGGCCTCTGGCTGTCATTCTCTATAACCTCCACTTACTTCCAATCTCTTACACAGAGTTTTCAAGTTAATCTTCTTAAACTATGCCTCTAACATAGTGGCTCTCAATGAGAAGCCACTATGTCTTTCTCAAAAACATTGGGCAGTTAATTTTGATTTTTAGTACTGGGGAAGGAGAAGGAATAAGTTACTGTGGACAACTAGTAGGTACAAGACCCAGGATAACCTCCTCTACACACATTCATTTCCCTCAACAAAGAAGTTTCCAGCCTGAAAGGTAAATAGAGCCAAGATTGAGAAAATTTTCTCTATCAAATAATTTGTTGGTGAAAAACAGTCCATTGTTTTCCATTGCTTGTGAGAGAGGTCACCTATTCAGGTTCCCTTCTGATGTAGATTTGGTTTATTATTTGCCAACTATTGATTTCTTTTCTGAAACAACTCTGAACTGTGTGCTGCTTCTGAGACACATCATCTGCTTTCTCACTCATGTCACTTTGCTCATACCAACAACTCCTTTTGCCCAAAATGCCCATTTCCTGCTATTAAAGTCAAGTTGAAACACTATTTCCTCTGTAAAGTCTTACCTGAACCCGAATTCTCCCAGCTGTGAAAGAGGTTTCCCTGAATGTTTCTATAGTATTTTATTAAAATGTCTCTTAAAGTACATATCATTTTCATAGTATAATGGAAAATTTTAATTGGAATGAGCTTTTGAAAATCTCTTTAGAAAAGCTTCTTCCTGAAGAAAAGGAAACTGAGTGTGAGAAACTGAGTGTGAGAAAGACTTTGTACTTCCCATAAAACTTAGGTTAGAGTAACTTGGTTCCTGGCTTCATTCTCCTGGCATGAAACTTTAAAATTTTGAGCTTTGAGCTTTAAATTAGGTCTGGCCTGCAAATTTCTACTCTGAAATTTATAAGCTGGCCAAGTCATTTGCTTTTCTGAAACTTATTTTTCTCTACTATAAATGAAGTAATAATTATGGTGGTTGTGAGAATCATTTTAGTTTGTGTATTCAAAATGTCTGGCACATAGTAGGCACTTGATAAATATTTGTCAGAATAGTATTAGAACCACTGCTGTTTTTCTGGTGCTAGGGATTGAACCTAGAGTCTTGCTCATGTTGTGTAAGTGCTCTACCACTCAGTTACACCTCTAGGCCCTCAATGGTGCTTCTAAGAATAGGATTTAGGGATTGATGATAAGTCCACAGTACTTCTTAAAAAAGTGACTAGAGGCAAAGATTAGTAGTTCATTGCCTCTGCTCCCTGATTTTTCATCTCGCATAGAATGACCCTTCTGCAGGACATAAGACAAGTGTCCATACTTTCTGTGGAGTAGCTGAGTACTAACAGTCATTTTCAAAGTGGAAAGATAGCTCTTAACATGTCCACTTTTGCTTTTTAGCCTTTTTGGAATGCCAATGATATAATTTCTTTGTTCCCTCAAAGGTAGCATTGTGGGGAGGTGATGAGATAAAATATATATTTCCTCTGTTTCTTTTTAGTTTCTTATATGGCAGCATGCTAGGATTTAGATACCATTCAGCAGCATCACAGGAGTGTCTGTGAGAGGAAATTCAGAATGCCTTTGGGGTGGCAGTGGGAGCACTTTGGTGCTGGCTTTAAGCCCATTGGTAGCTGGAACTTCAGCAAGGTTTAGGGAGGCCTTTCTTAGCCAGCTCTTTACTTGAGAACTTCTCTGTCAGCTTAGGGCTTTGGGGTAATAGCATGCTATGCATTTATTCCTTTCATTTAGACAAACAAGTCTTTCCCTGGTCTCAGAGTACATGTACCTAATAGAAATATCCCTGCTACTCTAATGAGGAGATGACTTGACAGGAAAGTGAAGAAACAGAATAAGAGTTCTGATGCCCTGTCTAGACTAGATTGGGAATATGCTAAGGAAGAGGAAGTTGCTTGACAGTAGGCTTGCCTCAGAGGTGGCTCCTGCCTACTCTGTAATGGGAACAGATTTTGGTTGAGGGGCCAGAGGAGAAGCTCAGAGGAGTCTGTTACAAATTGATTTAGGAGTCTCTTCTTTAAAGTTTACAAGTCAATAGTGTATTAGAGGAAAATGTTTTTTAGGGAAATGAGAAGGCCAGTAGGGGGCAGAGCACCAGATTAGGAGTAAAGAGATTTGCTCTGAATCCTTGCTTCTACCTCTCTGCTTTTGAGAGAGTTCCTAAGGCCTCATATTCTAGTCTGTAAAGTGGGTGCAACAAAGTATGCAGTCTTCCTCCCAATGATGGCAAAGCTTGAAGGTTTTCCAATCTCCAGTTTTCACTGTGAATCCCAAGGAATTCTTCAGTCTACCCTTCCCAGACTCCACTTCTGTTTTCCATGTTGAAACTACTTGGGAGATAGTTTGATTCCTTTGTCTAAGGAGGTTACTCTTTCAAATCTTCCCTCTTTCTCAGGTTTTCATTGTTTTTTCAGTCTACTGACTGGCTCTCACTATGATTTTGGGTGGGGCCACAGGAATTTAGGAAAGTTACATAATTGCACAAGTCTATTAGTAAAGTTCTACCTCTTTGGAAGGACAAATATTTAACACTAGTCATACGAGGGGAGAAGGGACTGGATAGTCAAGTGCAGTAGGAATGATACATGGTACTGTAAGAACCTCTGATGAGGAATTTGACTTAGGAAGGTCAGGGGAAGATTCACAGAGGAAGTAGTGAATTGAGCTCTTAAACTAAGGAAAGAGTGGTGGGAAATATATGTATATACATGAACATGCAGGAAGTAGTTTAGGTAGAAGGAAAAGAACGTGCATCAGCCTTATGGTGGAAAGGGTCATGGCACATCCTAGGAACAAATAGAATATGACTTTAGCTGATTTTCAACTTCAATCAAAAACTGAAACCAGAGTTTTAGGTGTCAAAGGTTGAAAATACAAGAATACCTAGCCCCAAAGTACTATTAGGCTAGATCACACCTATTAAAATTGTACCCATTATGGACAGAGCAAGTGAAGCATTATCAAGAAAAAAAAAACCTAAATATACCCATACTATAGAGCCAACAAACTGGAACAGGGAACTGGCAGATGAAAAATATGTGAAATGCAGATCTTCCTCCCAATGTCTTACCCAAACAGATATAGCTGCATGTGAGGTATACAGATGAATTCCTAGATAACTTCTTGGTTGAGGTGACATGAGCCCATTGGAGTGGAGACATTTAGCAGGTGCCAAGTCCTAAATACTATTCTGAAGAATATATGAATAGGTGAATAAGAGAAGAGAAGGTGTTTAGCGTGGGAGAGACAACATTATGGTGACTTGGTTGTTTGAAAGACTATTTCCAGGATGGAAAATTTGTGATAAATTAGATTGACATAAATGGAAGATCAGACTAATTTGGGGCCACCTTAGATTCTTTCTATGACAAATCAGCTAGTCAGTTAAAATGAGGAAAATCAAGGTTCACTGAGTACCATGTGAATAGAAGTAATTGGTTGTTTGATTGAATTTAGTCTTTAAAAATAAATAAATACAAGTCTTGGCATCCTCAACTTGATACAGTGAGGATTAAATTTCTGTGAGGTAGGTCAGTGTTACTGCTTACTTTTTTTTTCTCAGGACCTCTTTGCAATTTTATATAATTAAGCACCTACCACAGTTTCTGGAGTCTTGTTTTCTTAAGCACTTTATTTTAGCTGTTAATTATTCTGATACCTCAGAAAATAATATCTCTTCTTTCTCTGTACATTAACATTGTCTGAAAGAGTCCTAAAATCCCACCAATCCTCCAAAAAAAGGAATCTACCTTGAATAGAATGGCAGGTGATGGGGTAGATGTGTTTGTGCATGTGACCTTTCCCATTACCCTTCAAACAAAAACATTCCCCCTAGAAGCTTGGCTTTGGTTTCAATGTATTCTTCCCACGTCTATTTGAAGGTTAGGTAGGAACTGTAGCAAGGGGGAAGGGATTTGATTTTGCCTGCTACCTGTCTTTTTTTCTGCCATATCTCTTGATGATGCAGGACATGGCTCTTTAAAAGCAGCCTGTGTGGTAGCACATCACTATGGTCGAAAGTTTGAATCATGCAGGGTTCACATACTGATGCTTTCACCTGGCTGTGTGATTTTTTTTCAATAACTTAACCTGTGCTTCGGTTGCCTCATCTTTTCTGAGACAGGAATAACTCGAATACTTATCCTGTGCACTTACTGTGATGATCAATGAGGTATATGCATAAAATGTTTAGCAGAATGTTTGATACTTGATCAACTTGTTCTTTCATCATTGCCATTAGCATTGCTACACCATCATCACCCACACCCCTCACAGCTTCCCATTCTAACTGGAAAATAAAATCTATAAGCTCTCACTAAAGCAGAGAACAGCAGTCAGCAAATGAGGAAATAAGAAACCCAGTTGTATTCACTATTCCTGTTCTTGGCCTAACCATAATATCCCAAAGAGAATGTTTGATGACTCTATTTTCAGAGATCATTTCTATATTTTGCTACCAAAGAGACAGTATGAGGAGACACCACAACACTCATGTCTCTGTCCCTGTTTCCACAGGTACCTGTCGGCTTGGCTGGGCCTATTACTGTGCTGGAGGTGGAGCAGCTGCAGCCATGTTGATCTGTACCTGGCTCTCTTGCTTTGCTGGAAGAAACCCTAAGCCTGTCGTGTTGGTAGAGAGCATCATAAGAAATACCAATTCTTATGCTATGGAGCTTGACCATTGTCTCAAATCTTGAGCTTTTGAATAAAATTGATTAGTGAGGGTGGGAGAGGGGATAAAAGGCAGCCTTGAAAAGAGGTACTAAGCCTTGCCAGTTGGCACCCACCTACCAGTAGTTTAGCATAGAGTTTGCATGCTTTTTAACCACCTATTATAAAGTTTCTCTTCCCCATAAACCAGTAGGTTAGTGCTATTTTAAAAATTCATCTAGAACAATGACTCTCTCAAACAACAAGAATTTCTTCTGACCCTAATACCCAACATGCTACTTTATGAAAAATAAGAAGATTCTTACTTGAAAAGTAACTACACATCCAAGTAGCTCTTTAAAGTTTGATAGCTCCTGTCTCACACTTACTTTAAAGCATAAAGGCTGAGTAATAACAGCTGTAAAGAGAAGAACCAAGAGATGGACAGGGCTTATTCCTACTATTCCATTTATATGGCCCTACATCTGGTATTTATTGTCACCCCCAAACATATCTGGATACTACTGCTCAAACTTTTGTGACTTTGTCAAGACTGTATCTTCTTTGCTTTTCTCCTTTGCAGTTGTGGGAAAGCTTTGTGGGAGGGTAACTCCCAATGGGGAAAGCATTAATCAAGGATGTTTGTATGTAGTCTGGGACTTGTTTGGAATTATGCTTTAGGATATTCATAGGAGTTTGTTTTCTCTTCTCACTGAGTGATTGATATCAAAACATAGTGGCAAGTATTCTCTAATCTCCTGTAGATACAAAAGTGGTGTTCATCAAATGTTCTGAGAAGAGACTAACATTTATTGGGCACTCAATAAATACAAATTCATAGTAATGTTGACAAGGACATTTCTGCTAGATCCTTATTGAAATTTTTATCAGAGTTCATTATAATTGACTAGGAAATCCACAGTGGCATTTTGCCCCTGTAGACACTCCTGGTGTGATAGAAATTTTGCTACCTGTTTCAATGACTGCTCATCAAATGATCGCTCCTCTATCTGGGATGAGTTAGACATGAAAGAACAGAGCCCTGATGTCACCTAGAGCTGATGTATTTTTAGGCCTGGCCTCCATCCCATCTGTGCTCAAGGCTGATGGATAGTGTAGAAGAACTTGGTGTCTCCTGGGGGAAAAATTACTCTCACCCTCCCCCCAGTTAATTTAGGCCAGCTCTATTGTTCCATAACTACAACTTTAGGAACTGAGGAGGGCCTGTGACTCAAAAAGCCAGCTCATCTGTTTCTATTCTTAATAATTTCCGCATGATTTGGGTACAGCCCTATCTATCTAGAGGGAGAGAAATAGGAAAAAAATGGCTTGATGATTTATACAACATCTCTCAAAGTTCTTATATTGGCTTTGTGTATATAAGTGAATTCAAATGTGTATTCCATTCAGTTAATTCATTTATTCAGTCATTCATTAAGGGAACGTTTCTTGAGTATCTCACTATATGCCACATTCTGTACTACATACTAGGACTAAAAGAATGAAGACAATTTCTCACCCTAAAGGAGATAGTGGTAACTTATTGAAAGGAAAGTCAATAAATAATTAGTGTGTTAAGTGCTAGGAAAGTGATGGGGGAGGGAGCTAAAGGATCACAGAGGTGCCACAAGACCAATTTGGCAATGATGAGGGTTTATGAAAGATTTTTAGAAAACATGATACCTGAAACAAGATGGTTCTGAGAGATGAACAGGGGGAGTTACTCAGCAAAGGAAAAAGTGCACAAGTTAAGAAACTAAAGAGGGCAAGCAAAGGTGTAAGGACAGCATGGGATGACAAACAAGTAATAACAGGGAAGCAATCAAAACTAAAGCTGAAAGGACCAGCAGGAGCCAAATTCTGTGGAACTCCAGCATAAAGAGTTTGAGTTTTACCCTAAAAGAAGACCATTGAAAGGGAAGTGACGTGAACATATTTGTGTTTTGCCAAAGATCACTTTGGCTGCAGTGAAAAGAACAAAAGAGAATAGTGAGAGACTAGAGATATTTTCATAATCTATGTGTAAAAGGACCAAGTCCTGAATTAAGGGAGTGACTGTGGGGCTGGAGTAGATGGATGGATTTGAAAGAAGATGCAGGCTTAGCCTCCCTAATCTAAAAATGTGAAGTCCAAAATGATCCAATACTCAAAACTACTTAAATGTCATGTCAATGCTCAAAACATTTCAGAGCACTTCAGATTTTAGATTTTTGGATTAGGGATGCTCAACCTATAAAATTGATGCAAATATTCCAAAATCTGAAAAACTCTGAAATGCGAAACACTTCTGGTCCCATTCATTTTGGGTAAGGGATATTCAACTTCCATTTAGGAAGTCAATTCCACAGTTTTAATGTCTAATGGACATGTGTAAGTGGGGCAAATGAAAATTTTGCAATGACCACTCTAGTATATAGGTAGTTTCTGTCACTAACATGGGGGACACAAGAGGAATAGCTGATAGTAGGAAACTGGTGATTAAATTCTTGCCAGGTATAGGTCCCTCCTAGAAGTGATTGACTGACTAAGTATGAAGGTAAAGCAAGTTACCTCCCCACTGGAAGAAAGAAATATAATTTTATTTGCAGCATCCTCTTTTCCTTAAGAAATAAGAAGAACAATAGCTAAAACAAGAAACAAAACTGGTTAAAATCTAATTTTATTGTGTAGACACAGTAATTCAACCTTAATTTAGAAGAGAATTTGTGGAGAATATGTCAAATGATTGAGAAAAGGCCGATCAGTTTGTCTTTTTTTTCAGATCATTCTCTTTAGAAAAGGCAATTCAATCAGGTAATCTCTCCTCTTGGGCTACAAAACCTTTTGGAATTCTGTGGCATAGAATTTGTGGAAGTGAGGGCATATATCAGAATCCTGGCAGGAAACAGATGGTATCTCAAGTCATTTACCTGAGATAAGCTTAATGAAGGAACCATTCATGGTGGTATATGTAGGGTTCAGGGAACCTACAATTGATGTGGAGAGCTGTTATCATCCCTAGGACTGAAGGAGCATGGAGAAGAAAGCAAGAACTGTAGCTGTGTGAGGGGCTGCCTGATAGGAGTTGTGGCTTCAGGTACCATAATGAAGTCTCTGCCCAATGCAACACAGTGGGGAAGGAGACAGAGGAATCTTTATCTCACTCTCTGATCTTCTTCCAGTGTCCGCCATTAACCAGACACAACTAGATGCTAGCTGGCAAAAAAAATTTTGCTGCAGTCCATTGTGGTCGGCCACCTTCAGCACCAAACATGCGAGAGAAGTGCAGAGAATGAAATTTGGGGATATAGAGGTAAATGGAAAAGAACAGCTCAGTGAGTTTTTGTAGCTTCCAAGATACTGCTTCCCAGGAATTATTAGTTTTGCTTCCATCTTGTGCCCACATACCTAAACACAATGTAGTAGTTGTATTCTAAGAAAGAAGGGGTTAATTTGAAAGAACTATTTAAAGTGACCGTCACTTTGTGTTAATTGTAGGTAAAAGTTGGAATATTTCCTCCTTCTTTTAGGGAAAGGGGACCAGATTTAAAAAGAATTTTTTCCCCTGAGAGTGAGCCAGGACTGTAGGGGCTTTTATTCAAAGAGGAATGGAACCCCATGTTAAATTTGAATTTAAATTCTTCCTTGCCTGTGTCTGATTTCTTTCCTGCCAAATCTTGTTTTGGCATAAATGTCTGACTAGCCTAATTTGTTTCCCATGACCTGGAGCAGAGTCTTGGAAGCTAAAGCTGCCTCTTCTGTCCTCTGTTGTGAGAAGAGGAAGGAGAGCCATGGGTCAAGTGGAAGGCTGAATGAGAGAAGTTAGGACCTCAGAGTGAAGTTAGTTTGTCCCCATACTGACAGACTCTCATGCTCCCTGCCTGTGTGTGTAGACTGAATGTCAAACTACAGATCCTCTCCGGCCCTAGAATACCTTCTACCTTACAGAGTGGGTGAACGGTGGGAGGCTACTCAACTGGTTTAACTCATGGTTGACTGAGTATTTCTTGAGAGTCCATGTAGCAGGACACTTCTTTCAGAAAAGAATGCCGGATGGGTAGTAACAGCACAGTTAGCATGTCTTCTTATCTAGAGGGTGGGAATTTCTACATGTAGAGTGGAAAATTTTAAATCAATCATATTTGTCATGAGTCATGCCTTCTCTTTATTGTCACCCTGCAGTATACTAACTCTCAAGGGAGTAACAGCTGATGACTTCCAAGCAGTGGGTTTTGGCCTTGCAGGAGCATGAATCCCAAACCAAAATGGAAAGGCCCTGGTGGTCTCTGGGGGAAAAGGAGCTCTAGGTTTTTTAAGAATTGGTGGCCATATGAAGGTTTGCTTGGGTGACAGAAAGCCCTATTAGGAAGAGGGAGGATCTGGTCCCTTCGGAATGTTGTAGAGACACTGTACTAGTCAGCTTTTTGTTACTGTAATGAAATGCCTGATGTAAGCTACTTGTGAAGGAAATGGCTTTATTTAGCTTTAAATTGTGTAAGTTCAAGGCCATTAAATAAGATCTGGTGAAGGTCTTCTTGTCTGTATCACATCATGGTGGAAGGCAATGGTAAGATCTTTGGGAGCAAAGGATTATGTCTTGATACAGGAAGCCAGATAAAGACTCTGGGACTAGGCTCAGGCTTTTAAAATAACTCACTTTTTTGAGAACTACAAAGAATTTGCAAGGGAACTACCTTAATTCCTTCCAAGGATAAAGCTCACAATGGCCCAAGAACCTTTTACTAGGTCCTACCTCTTAAATGTTCTACCTCCCCAGGCTGGGCATGGTGGAACACAGCTATAATCCAAGCTACTCAAGAGGTGGACATGGGAGATCATGGTTCAAATCTAGCCTAGGAAAAGTTATCAAGACTTTATCTCAAAGAACAAGTTGAGTTTGGTGTACATACCTATAATCCCAGGTACTCAGGAGACAGAGGTAGGAAGATTGTGGTCTTGAGGCTGGCTTGGGCAAAAGGCCTGAGACCCTATGAAAAACAAGTTAAAACAAAAAGGGCTGTGAACATGGTTCAAAAGATAAAGTGCTTGCCTGATGTGAGGCCCTGAGTTCAATCCCCAGTACTATGAAAAAAGAAAGAAAGAAAAGCAAAAGAAAGAAAAAGAATGGTTCCACCTCCCCAAATCATCACATTAGGGACCAAGTTCCCAATATATGTGCCTTTGGGTGGGGGGAAAACCATATCTAAACCACAGTAGATACTTTCATCAGAGTTTTGCTTTCATTCTGTAGAAATACTAATGTGGAGAAGTTTCAAGATTGAGTTTGGTCCAAGGCAGCCTGGAGATGGGAAAAATGGAAGTTTCAAGAAAACTAAT